TGCCCTGTCTCTATTGATGCAAGTGCTTGAATATGTGAGCAAGTGGTGGAAGAGGAATACATACAAATGGAGATAGATAGATAGATGATAGATGGATAGACATAATAGATAGATGATAGATTGATGATAGATAGATAGATAGATAGATAGATAGATAGATAGATAGATAGATAGATAGATAGATAGATAGATAGATAGATAGATAGATAGATAGATAGATAGATAGATAGATAGATAGATAGATAGATAGATAAGATAGATAGATAGATAAGATAGATAGATAGATAAGATAGATAGATAGACAGACAGATGATATATAGATAGACAGAGAGATAGATAGATGGAGATACATTTAGAGAAATATATATATTTCGCGCTTTTGAACAGACCGTAATGCCATCCACCTATTTATCCATACCGACCTACCCACCTACCTACCTACCTACCTACCTACCTACCTACCTACCTACCTACCTACCTACCAACTTATCTACCTACCTACCTACTTACCTTCCAAATACGTAAGTCCCTAACCTACCTAAATTATTATTATTTGTGGTTGCGAGACAAGACTTCTTAAAATGTTATTCCTTAAATGACAACAATCTCAACAACCTGGTCAGAAGTTGTTCTTTTCATTACTTAAAAGAGATGGTATAACACAGGGCAAAATTCCAATCACAGTTTCAGCTGACAATCACCAACAGACAAGAACTTATATGAATGACTCTAATTTTAATAAGTACGGTATCTATATATATATAAAACTTGCTAATGTGATACGCAAACTATAAAATATTAAAGAAAAATTAAATCATGGTTATCAATTTCAGGTTAAGAGTTGTTAAATAATTGTGTTATCTAACCTTATATTAGAATCAAAACGTACGTTTCACCGAGACACGCAGAGGTTAAGCAAACGGTATTATCCTACCAACTGGCATTGCCATCATGCCATTTTAAATATTGTATAATTATATACAAATTCTTGTCATCCCTCACCTTACACGCGATTCAACAGCTAGCAAAAACCTTAAGCCAAGCTTAAACTAATATTCTTCGGTACGAAGAGGCATTAGTTTTGTGTCATTTATATAATCTTGAAATTTAGAAAAGTAATATATTATATTCATTTAAGTTTTATTTGATCTAAATAAAACAGGTTAAATTGTAGTTTAGCACAATACCCCCCCCCCACACACTTTTTAATTATTTACAGCTGGTTCCAGTAATGGCACGAATTTTTTTAGATATGCTTTAAATTAAATTTGTTTAAACAAATCAAGTAATTTACCACCGATCTAGGCCGATAGTTTGTAAGCACACATTATAACTCCCTGGAATTTGCAGGCATGCTATCGAGAATGAATGGCCCAAACGGCACAACACAATCGTTTCTCAAAATGTAGCCGCCCTAATCAGTCAGGCATTGCGACGCCAAGTCTTAGACAAAGGTATGTGCTTACGTTACGCTGTGTTAGCTCCATTCGCAGTGTTTGTGGATAGTTCAGTTATTGAATTCAACCAGTACCTGTCTTCTCCAACTTCATAACAATGTAAGAAGATCCCGTAACTGACGACTACTGGTCCATTCGAAAAAAGATTCCATTTAATTCCTACGAGAACCCCCTTTCCTTGCATCTTTGTTAAATCCAATGTAAGTTGGCAGCAGAACTTATGTCACTCGACAACAGCTGAATCTGTACTCCAGGTGAAGCCTGACCTCAGCAGCCCTGGTATTCTGAGCTTAAATGTTGTCCTTACGTCAAATGACAGTGTCTCATCCAGCATGCCTTTTCCCTGAAATGTCTCAATTAACAAACAAAGATCTTTTGGTGGTAATGAACCTAAACAATCAATGTAATAAATATTTATTGAAAACTTAATGAATTACGCTTCTGGCTTCATTGAAACTAAGTAAGATATTTATTGGAGGGGTGTATTTTTGTATTTAAACTAAGTAGCATGTACATGAGTAGGTGTATTTTTGTATTTAAAAATGTACATAAGTTGGTGTACTATTGTATTTAAACTAAGTAGCATGTATATGAGTAGGTGTATTATTGTATTTAAACTAAGTAGCATGTATATGAGTAGGTGTATTTTTGTATTTAAACATGTACATAAGTTGGTGCATTATTGTATTTAAACTAAGTAACATGTACATCAGTTGGTGTAGTTTTGCATTAAGTTAAAACTCAATTAATCCGTTTCTGAATCGGTGTAAAACGTGTTGGACGGTTTTTGTCCCAGTCACGAATTGCATTAAATCAATTTGACGATTGGTTTTTAATCAGCTTAATTAAATGGAAATTCCCCCTCTTTGCACTTCAGTTATATTTTGATCAGCCTGTAGGGCCGTTGATGATCCCAAATGGAAAACAGCGAAATTTCTTTTTTTTTTTTTTAAAATGTCACGAAACGCATGTGAAACCAATGCAGTTCGGATCACATCTCATCGTGACAGCGGAAAAGCCAGATCCTGGGACATGGACTTACGAATGGCAATTTACAACTGTTCTATTGTAACACGCACCTCTAATCTTAAACAACAAATTACTGTCGTCAGAAGGGAAGCCAACGTAGAAGCGTTGCGCCGGTTACTTAAAAATAACAACAGTGATGGTTATTTTCTATAATTTTTAAGGACATCGAATCAATTTAAATATGATAAAATATATCTGCTTTTATGCAAGTATAAACGATCTTTAATATATAATTATTATTATTATAAATACATTTAATGAAATAAGCATTTTTTTTTGGTAGTTCAATTCTTGAACAAACAGTTGGTTGGGTCTACATTATTTAGAGAATAAACATTTCTCAAAACCCAATGACTTAAGAAATTTAAACATCTATAAACAGATAGTTATTTCTTCTTTAAAAAAGGGTAACGTCTCATCGACTATTTCCTAACTATACATATCAAGAGCGTGGACAATTTTCTTGAATTTTTTTTTAAAGGATATATTATAACCAAACTTGATACAGTTACATATGTAAAAATTAGTAGATTTTGAGATTTCGAAATAGCAGGTAGTAAGTAGAGCAATATGCAATCCATTTTTTTAAAAATACTGTCGAGACGTTGTATTTGTTGTGTTGCAAATCCAGCCAAGTCTACCACTTGGTCACAGAACAGCACAACCAAAAGTAATAGTCTTCAAATCAACAAACACTCCACGGTTCGATATAATATGTAAATTTAATATGCCTTTTCAATATGACAATCAGTGTACTTCCCTATACAGCTTGTAACCGTTCAACTTCACAATATATCTAGTTGAAATCCTCACACATAGAAACATCACACAAGAAGCTATGTCTTAAGAATTGGATAGTGCACAACGGTCATCTCTCTTCTCCAACAACAACGAAAACTAACGCGTCACTTCCCCACTACACAATTACGTCACAACACTCTCACACAAATGATACAGCTACACGTAAAATCTCTAACTCAACATCTTTTCACTATCAAACTTTGAAACAATAATCTACACATAACAACAGTGATTCTCATACCCTTGACAAATACCGGTAACACCGGGTCATATCTTCTGGTTCTTAACATTATTTGTAAAAGCCTATAAATGAAACATACCCACGGAAAATGTAATTGCAGCCTTCCACGTCATCCGTGTAGCCTACATGTATCTTACGGATTCTAAGTGATTCTAAGTGATTCTTATAAAAATATCCAAAAAATTTTGGGTCACAGAAAATACATTTTTTAAGTCTTCAAACTCTTGAGTTCTGCTGACTAATTATGACACATTCAAGTGACTCCGTGTAGGTCGTGATCATGGATTTTTAAATGCAATTTCCTAACGGGTATTTATTTCTTAATCAAACAAGCTGATGGCTATATTCAGCAGCAATATGAAGTTTCTGAGACCAACCAGCTGCTTTCTTCTCCGTCCTTTCACATACAAAGTCATGTGACACATTCAACAAAATCATCGTTCTTAAAGCGCTGACTTAATTCAGACAGTGTTCCCAAAATAAATTCGGACGATCAAAATAAAACTATGTCAACAAAAGTCTAATTCGTTTTTAAAACAAATATTGTTTTGTTATCATACAAATATGTTTAATCAGATGGCCTTCACTAAGTGTAATTATGCACGAGGAAAATTAACATAAAAAAAAAGATTATTTGAAGGATTGGCGAAAACAAATAGGGCTTTCAGAGTTGTTACTTATAGAAATGACTAAAATATTTGATTCATCAATAGGCCCAATATTTTCTAAAATGATCAAGAACATTCCTTCGGCTCCATCCCTATGGCTATGCTAGTAGACGCGTCAGCATTTTTAACATTTCTTTTGGATTTACCATTGCAGACGTTTAAGCTTCTGTTTCAACTGAGAATGGTTTGGGTCTGATCACAGATCAGCTTTACTTGTTCGTCTGCATTCAAGAGACCCAAGATGTCAATGAGGCATGGAGGTTACATTTGCAGCACTATTTTCTATGTATGCAGGGGTGGCATTTTCGGACAACTGAAGAGTTTTTTCATGGAAGAAGGCGGCAAAACTCTTGCCCCCCCCCCACACAAAATTGGCACTAATCCTAGAAACGCCTCTGCGAGCATTAAAAAGCTTCAGATAGCCAACAACTTTTTGTCCTATGGCCACATGTTTGGACATTGGGTCCACGATTTTGCGAGTCACCAGAATTGACTAAGCTATCATCCGATACTTTTTTTTAAATATAGGGAAAACACATGCTTAGTATTGTGAGCAAGGACTTAACTATCGAGTCTACAACTATCTCCCCAGAGCTAATCTACTTCTGCCTTTCAAAGGGATACAAACACATGGAAATAGGTTCATCGGAGCGAGACGTTTGGAAAAGGCGAGGGCACTTTGAACACGAGATTGTCCTAACACTGTTAACGCTGTGTCGGGTTCAGGAATCGATGGCCGCCCTTTGAATGACCTGTGCGCCCAAAGCTGAGACTGAATGTAATGGCAGTAGCACACACCCGATCACTGCTTATGAGGTAGAAGCCCCGAGTAAAGTGGAACTCGAGCTTGTCTGGGATACTCTGTCGCTGTACATGACTCTGACTCGGGCATTGAGTTCATTTCACACTTGCAATAAAGCGAAGGCTCTTTAAACATGTAAGTAGAAAGCTGGGTTATTTAAAAAATAAATTTTCCATTGCATTCTCTCTTAAACTGTTTGAGCCATTATGATATAAATTAGTCGAATTTGTTGTTTTTTTTCGTCTAAAAATCGGAATATATCATCCCATTAAGAAAAAAAATGTGTTTCATTTGTGCTAGTGTAAAGACATCTCGACATTATCGGATAGGATAGAAACAAGTGATGCTTTACAGATAAGTTGTTATTATTGGCAATATTTGAATCTGATCTTTAACACACAAACACAATAGAAACTGGTACTCTTATGTCATATTGACATTAAGTTGAGTCTCCAGGCTGGCACTGTCATTAGAATTGTTTACAAGTGCTCCATTAAGTTGCTTCTTCTCACACAAAAAAAGGTAGTGTCAGGACTGAAGTCGCTTCACGTGCAAATTCATTCAAGTGAGTAATTCATCAGACGGGGGTGGTGGGGGGGAGGGGGGGCAGCATAGTAGTCTAGCAGTTGTTCTTCTTGTATCGGACTTTCAACATAGATTTGGATTATGGATCGATACCGCCGATTAGAAGTTCAGATGGAAGCTAAAAAAAAACATAATCAAACGGGTTTTGGTAAAGATTACTTTTATTTTCGCCCTCAATGGTAACGGGATTGCTGTGACGTTTTCCTGAAAATGTTGCCTTAAATAATACAGAATGCCATTCTTCCACAAACACTCATGGGAATGGGCCTGTTGCTGCTTCTGTGAATATTTCACATCATTGAAATTTAGTGACCTAACTACTTATAGACACATTTTGATTGACTTAAAATTCAAAATTATACTTTTTTTTTCACATTTTGTTTGGTTCAAATTCCCAATTTATACTAAATTTAAAAAGTTCCCTTTGGAAATGCTCTTGTGTCTATTTGGGCATAAATACTATCTACACAACGATGTTGATTTATGAAAAATATTTTGAAAGTGAATTAGTAAATAAAAATATAATTTAACAGGCCCGTAGAGGGAAGAATAAAATAAAGCGAACCCGGGTTCCGGATCTGGCGCGTGTGCCGTAGTTTGCCAAACCCTGAGAAAGACACACATAAATTGATGTTTTGTAACTCCAGAGGCAGTAATGTCTCCAGTCAGTCCATGAAATAGAGATCATTTGATTTTTCATTTCATTCCTCACCAGATTATTAGAGATGTCTTACTTCAGCTCACCAATGCTGGCTATCGCCGTCTTGTCAGTTCTACTAGTGCATCAGAAAATTGCAGTGTACGGAAATGCAATTTCAAATCTGGTGACGCCTATGGGTGTTACATTAGAACATCTGAGTGTGAACCACAAAAGAACGCAAGTTCAATATGTCACACAAACATTTGAAAGACACCCGCCAAATAAATATAAACAAGTAGATTTTAAAATGAATCACAATGCAGACCTACTGGATAGTGAAAATGACACAGATGATAGAAATTATACTTTTGTCTACCCTGACAATAACTATAAATGTCCACCATGTGTTTGTACCGACAGAAAGGATGGAGTTTTAACAGCTTCGTGTAATTTGGTGAACATCTCGGAGGTTCCTCAAAATCTAACCACTGGTATAGAAATTCTAACTGTCACTGAATGTTCAATTATAGCATTTGATATGAGCGAATTCAAACTGTATAGAAATCTTAAAAGCGTGATCATTTCCAACAACACAGTGTTGAATACCATACGAAGATCGTCGGGATCTAACCCCACCTCGACTATCCTCACATTATTCATCGACAAAAACCACATTGAAATGGTGGAGAGCTACAGTTTCACAGACATGTTGCGCCTTCAAACGCTATCCCTGACTGAGAACCGCTTAAACAAATTAACGGAAAACATGTTTTCAGGACTCAGAAGTCTTAGGAGGTTAGATGTTTCACGTAATAACATTCTCTTCGTTGATAACAAGACATTCGACGATTTAAACAGTTTACTCATCCTCGATATAAGTGGCAATCTACTTCAGGTCAACAATCCCCAACTTCTGCCCCCAAGTGCATTTCTGAACATCAACCAATTAGAAGAACTTTATATTCAAGGCAATTGTGAGCGTGATCTCTTGTTATGTAGCTTTCCACAGCTAGTGATACAACCGTTGAAAAGATTGAGAGTTCTTGCCATTGACGTACATAATGAAAACGGCATAGGACCTGAAAGTACGACACTTTTAAACCTACACACGTTGATTATTGATTCAAATTCGTTTTGCACTACGCGAATGATTAATGAGACATTCTTTGACCAAACTCCCAACTTAGTATCTTTAACAATACAAAACTGCCCGTTGGTTAGCATTCTGCCAAAGGCGTATTCGAAGCTTTTACACTTAGAGAACCTAACGATCAAAGCTGTGCCGCCAGATTACAATCTCTGCCTAGCTTTAAGCGACATCCAAGGTTTACAGAATGCTTCTCTTAAGTATCTCTCACTCTCAGGTGTGAATAAATATGACTGTGCTTGTAGGAAGCTTGACGTTGGGCAAGGCAAGTACTTTAAGCAACACAACTTGATCGAACTTGATCTTTCGTGGAACAATATTATAACCATTATACCAGGGTTTACTGCGATGTTACCGAAAAGTTTAAAAAAGATTGATCTAAGTGGGAATGACTTATCTGCCGGCGTGCTCTACAGACCACTAAGATTTCCAGATGAACTTACGGAGCTAAATCTAAGCTACGAAACGTATCAGTATACAAGCCAATGTTCGGCAAAGGACGTCGAAAGAGATGACAAAAGCATGAATGACAACTACAGTCGTTTAGATGACGTTGATTTCTCTGAAAAGCCATATGACGATAAATATATCTACGCATCAAACATGTCCCGGAAGTCCTTTGAATTCAATACCATGGAGCAGGAACAACCTCAAAATGGACGTTTTCAGTTTGTTAATCCACTTTATTTTCATTTCCCAATTAATGTAAAAATTTGGAATGCCATAAAATTCCCACAATTCGGTACACTTGTCCTAAGACGTGTTTACGAGCAGAATTCTTCCTTAACAAAAATACATTTTTCTGGAGGTTTTTTTGAGACGTGGGGAACATCCCACATGCTGTCTAGAATAAAACATGCAGACTTGAGCAATAATTTCTGTACAGACATGAGTACGAAATTTTTGACTAAAAACAACAGTCTAGAGCATTTGTCTGCTGCTAACAATTACCTGGGGAATGTCTTCTCCAACGATTCCCAAGGTTTGTTATTTGGAAAAGCCAAGAGACTTAAGTACTTAGACATCTCAAAAAATCTCATCAACGAAATACCAAAGAAGTTTTTCAAGGGTTTGGTCAAACTTCAAACGTTGATAACTACCGATAATAAGCTAGAACAGCTACATAGCAGTTTCTCTCATATGAAGGACTTGACGTTGATTGACTTCAGTAGAAACTCTATCACTTGGATGAGTAGGAACACACGTGACGACCTTGACCTAATTGCCATGGGTCACGAAGTGTACTTGGATCTGACCTCCAACCCTCTGCCCTGTACGTGTAGTGGAATAGAATTGATGCAATGGCTGGCCACTACCAATGTTTTTCTTTTGAACAGAGATTTCCTTGTGTGCGTCAATGAAACAAATGAAATACAAGAAATCGGAGATGTCGGTGAGATGGTTCAAATTTTAAAACGGCGGTGTACTTCTAAAAATGCCTTGATAGTAACATGTGTATTTGTCATTAGTTCTTTCAGTATCGTATTAACAGCTTCGATGATGTATCGATACCGCTGGTGGTTGCGATATTTACTGAATGTGGCTTTGGCTAAATTGTTTGGTAAAAAGTTATCAGACAATACAAATACTTTCCAATTCGATGCTTATATTTTATGCACAGATGAGACTCGATTTTTTGTACTTCGTGATTGTGTCCGTGAACTAGAAACAAATAGAGGCCATCGACTTTGCATTGAGGAGAGAGATTTTTTACCTGGTACTTACATGCCGTCTGATATTCTGAGTGGAGTACGGAACAGTGCCGCGACTGTTGCTATGGTAACGCCGGAGTTTTATGAAGATGACCTATCAGAATACCGTATTAAGATGGCACTGATGGAGGAACGCTCGGCAAGGCGGACTTTACTTTACGTGTGTATGTGCGAACCTACTCGTGATGAAGATTTATCTGACGATCTCTTGACTTTATTGAGAAACAATCGCTACATCGAATGCCCGCCCCTAGATGAAACTATTGCTAATGTTGGCAAAGAATACTGGGATCAGTTCTCACTTTTAATAGGGCGATCTGTGTGGAAAGGTATGGTTAAGCAAACCTAATGTGTAGAAGAAGGTAGCTATGATAATGCAATAATAGGATCTAAGATAATGTATTTACAATGTGCAAGTGATACTGAAAGGTACATTAACAACATGCTATAATCCATTAAGAAACAAAAGTAATCTCTTATATATATTTTGCTTGTGATGTGACAGCTTCCTTTTCCTGAGAGCGCGAAATATATAATTCCATGATAAGTACGCTAAATGATTTAAAAAAAAAAAAATAACGCACCGTCGTTTGGTACGCATATTTTCTTTTTGGAAATGTAATCGTCTAAATATGGTGTTATAAATATTCGGTTTAAAAGTGATTGGGACCACAGAATATTTAATATTCAAGTTTATGGGCGTTAAATAAATCTATGCAGTGACGTATCATGGAGGTGTAGCGAAAATTGGGATTCTTAAATGTGCGTTACTTGAGTTCATGGTTTGTCAAGTAACTGTAATAGATGGGAAGTTCACGCATTGCTGTCGCCAACTATTACACATATATTCCACTTCATATAAAAAGACAGATAATATGGTCATAGACTTGTATGAAAAGAAGCAGATGAAAGTCGTGAGCGAAGGGAAACTATGACTTAATAAATCACTAAATGAACAAAAAACAACAACGTTTCAATGTTTGTAAATAGTCAGCTCTCATAATATTAAAAGTGTAATTTTGTTTTCCCAAAATGTGTGAACCAATTTTTTAATTTGTTGCGATTTTTGTTTACTTCGGTTAATACAGTTTAGAACAATAATAATAATAATAATAATAGAATCACGTGCCCCCAAAATAGGGACGGCAAGGTGTCCAGCAGAAGGAAAACATTTTAGGCAGTTGGTTTACTAATGTACTTACTTAATTTTACTTTAGAGTAAACCTATTCTGTAAAAAAAAATTAAAAAGAATATTGGTTCAAAATCTGTGAATTTTTTTTTTTTTTACACGTACGTACTTTATTAATAGATTAATGTTTGCATCTTAGAAACAGACGAATAAAAAAAATCATTTATGAGTTTTTTTTTGTTTTTTTTAATACTCGAACGAGATAACATAGCATCCTTAGTTTGCGTTATGTTATAACGATTATACAGAAGAGCATAAATGATTTTGTTTATTTCCTTGTTGGTTAATATTATAACTTATAAATCGTTTAAGGCCTATGCCAAAACCAAATGGCTTTCTAATTTTTCTTTATTCAGTTCCGGGATACGTCACATGTGATTTTTAATTGTGTGTGGCCCCTTTGTTCAAACATTTGAACATACATTATTGTTTAGCGCCAAAAATATATGAATGCTCCACGCGTAGGTTTGGCAGTTTGTTAAAAAAAAAAATCTGAGACGGCACCATTTTTGCCTATGGGGAAAACCTTGTACCAATCTTAACGCGGTCATGATGTGCACCTCTTAGTCTAAAAATAACTGCAAATTGCACCCAACCATCTCTGTTGAATACCGGCAACTAGCTTGATACAATGATTTAAAAGTTCCCGACAAATGGGTAGAAGGAACAACATAAAAGTTCCATAACAATTGAAAAATGTATTTTCTTTATGATGAGGATCAAAATATTTTATACAGGAAAAGATGTGATGCACTGGCTGGCCTCCACAAAATGTCTTTCTCTTCAATAGATTTTGTAGCATACGTCATTCAGTATCGTGTTGACTGCTTCAATGATGTATCGATAACACTGGTATGAAGAAAAAGGTACCACGACTGTTGCTATGGTGAAGTTATATATTTACGAATATTACTATTCTGGATATCTCGTTAAGAGGGCGTTGTAGGACGAACATTTGCAAAGCAGACTTTACTTGACGTCAGTCTGCCATTCACGAGGATTTCTCTGACGATCTCATCAATGTAATGAAAAACAATCGATTTATCGAATTTTACCACTGGACTAAGCGATAGGAAATGTATTAATCTACACCTGGGATTATTTCTCACTTGCCGTAGGGTGACAAAACGAGGTTCAGGAAGGCCCAACAGAATAGTTTTAAGAAAACTTACACGTAGATAACTACTGCCGTTTTATAGGCATCCCAGCTCCTTCCGAACATTACGCACCAGGGTGTTAGAGATTAAAGAAAGGATATTGGAAAAGACGAAGAGAGGCATCCCGAAAATAAAATTTCACCATTTAGACACAATAGTGCTTGAATTAAATTAAGATTGTGTTTATTTGTGTACACTAATAAACTTTTATCATTATGTCTCACCGGAATGTGCTTAAGGACCACATAATTTATTATGCATAATTAAAGTCAAGAAATGTTTGAAATGTTTTGTTTGACCCAGATAGTAAATATAGGATGTTATTAGATTTGATTATATGATACATACAATTAACAAACTGTTTTCATTATATCATGACAGTAAAATAAAATTTAATATTTATATTAATTATTTATTTTGTAAAAAAAAAAAGAAATCTCCCTTCTGTCCGCTTCTACTGGTATTGCGTCACGGGGAGTTACAGCTGTCGATCACCCGAAATGGTTTGAGGACTACTAATTATTCATTTTTCAGATATAAGGGCAATATAAGATTAATCTTTATGCAAATGGGGCACATTGAAAGGGGCTCGGCGGCTTTTAGGGAGGGAATTGAGTGGGGGTAGGACTTAGTTTGATCTTTACCACACTTGACATAATTTGAAGGTCCGATAGACATTTGGGGACCTTAATGCTTGCTCAAATTTACTTCGCTGTCCATACCTTAGTCCCATGGGAAAATGCTTCCCAGATATTTATACTAAGGAAACAGTCGAACAAGGTATGTTGAAGCTTCAAATGAAAAGACAGTACAATGAAAGAAGAACTTTCGGCTAAGGGTCTTCTTCAGCATACATAACGATACAAAAAAAACAACAACAAAGAAATAGAAATGAGTTAAACAACTTAAGTGGCTGGGGTCGCCATGTTGGAGAAAAATGTTAGAAGTTAGTTTGTCCTAAACCAAAGCATCTGTAGTATCCAAAATATTACAGGAAGTAAAAGCATTATTAAAGTATTATTAAATTTTAAATACTATTTTAACGGCGAAAAATATATCACAATACATAAAATATAAGAAATACGAAGAGGAAAGAAATATTGGTAGATCGAGGACCACTAGTAAGCGAGTATATGGTTGAATCCTTATGGTGATATGGCGCCGAAAGTCTGAATAAATTTAATTGTTTTCATTCTCCAATCTCGTTGGTATATTCGTGCAGGAAATCAGTGTCTTGGTGGAAACATCTGATATGCCATTTACCTCCGTTGAAATAGGATGAGACACCGGGATAGATTGCCCTGTTCCATATCACGAAGAAGTTCACTGAACCTATCAGATCGTTTCACCTATATAACAGAGACGGCACCTAGGGCCAAACTATCACAGAGATCCCATTGCGACTTAGACATGTGAAGACCTCTTTGATGTTAAAATTAACCTTATGGAATCTAACGTTTTTGTTTTTTAGTGCAAATGGCAAGTCCTACAACGACCCATTGAGCATGGATTACTCCAAAAAATGCAGTTTTAGTCACTTGAATTTTAAGCTTGAAATTTTGAAATAATAGGTTCATTCAAATGTTACATTGAAAAAAAAATTATATTTTTCAGTGTAGTGTTTGATTTTTTGTGTTACAATATCAAGTATGATTTATATATACATATAGTGAAGAAAAAACATCACCAGCACCCCGGGTGGATGGGACTCGCTAACCTGGGATGGCAGACCATCTAAAAGAAGGAAACTCTGAAATCAAACCCGGAGATGGAGTCCCGAAAGGCGGATAACATTGATACAATGAAACATTCCGACAACTCCTGCGACGTCACTGGTGTATTATCCAATGATGTTCCCCTGGCGTGGAGAGAGGCGATTTGCTGTTTGGTACCAGCTCATAATCCTTGAAGAATAATCCCAGTCCTTGTGGATTTCGTCCTCCGAAGTCCCACTCCATCGTCACATTGTGACGGACGGATACCAGCAAAAAAATTAAAAAGTGATATATATATATATATATATATATATATATATATATATATATATATATATATATATGAAAAAATAATAATAAAATTTTGTGTATAAAATTGTTAAAAAAAAAAAAAAGAGATATATATATATATATATATATATATATATATATATATATATATATATATATATGAAAAAATACTAATCAAATTTTGTGAATAAAATTGTGCAGCCCTTAAGTTCTCAAATAACACAGCTACTCTATTCAAATATACCAAATTTTAGTCAAATATCCGTAACAAAAGCACATAAACCGCATCTCTGTTAGCTAGGACCTCCAGAGTAATCTTATAATCTCTTAACCAAAGACATATAAAAGGAATTTAAAAAAATAATGCACTTCCTGGTCGATAGAATGAATTAAGTGTAACCTATATTTGAATATATTATTTCCAGCGGGATCGATAAGTATCTTTGATTGTTTGCTTGATTTGAAATTTTTGTCTTGCTATATAAAATTGATTTTGCAAGTTTGATATTGAAATTGGGCGTGAAATTGATGCTTGCCACGGTGCCATACGTTCTCGGTGGGCCTCTGGGTGGGGTTTATTTGTATTTCGCCAAATGAAATTAGGCGTTTATAGTTGATAGTTTATGTGTAACTGGTGGCAAATACACTACTGGCGGTCCTCGCTGTGTTCAAGTACTCTTTGGATTTTTTAAATGTTATCCATCAGATTTAAAAAAAAAATAATATTAACTAAAATGCACTGAAGGGGTTATAAGATCTTTGGGATATTAAAATTGATTTTTTCTTTTAAATGAAAGAACTACTATAAGCTAAAGCAGCGTTTCCCAAACGTTTGTTTTCGTGACCAGGTTATTTTTGATACTTTTCCTTCGTGACCCATTAACATTTGCATCGCCGATACAGCCCTATAGTAATATAATACAGATGTAAAATTCAATATAGTTTTCTTTACTCTATTAGAGTTAAGCAATTACTCACACAAGATTGTAAAGAAATCAAACTTACCCGGTACCAGAAATGAATCTAACCCAGGTTTTCAAAGATTTTTTGTTGTTGTTTTCGTCTTTCGGCGAACCGGTAATTTTGCTTTTGTGGCCCGGTTCCAAACGCGACCCGGCATTTTGGAAACGCTGAGCTGGACTAATTATCTACCTGAAGACTAATTGTAAGGGCCAGAGTGGATGCAAGGAAAATGGGTAATACTTTTCAATTTACTCTTCAAATAGTCAATTCAAATTTTAAGAACTTTAAAAAAAAATTACAGCTCTGACATATCTTTAAAATTACTGACAAAAGGATAATTTCTCTTGAAAATTGGACCTTGTATAAGTTTAGGTTATATTCATGAGAAAACTGCGAATGGTTAGCTCCAGTTTATGTTTTGAGCTAAGAAAATGGTTTTACTACTACGCCAGTTACACAGCTCCAATTGAATACATTTGTTTAATCGGCTAAAGATTTCTCTATTGGCTTTGACATAAAATCATTAGATCAAAACCCCATTGAGTAAGGAGCCTATGTGTGTGTGTGTTTAGGGGGGGGGGTCTATACATTTCAAAATAATTTAAAGCTTTATTTGCTCCAAGAGATTCTATAAAGAGATTTGAAAATGTTTATTCCATGATTTGTTAAATTGATTTTGAATTTGGTAGGGACTTTTATTTTGTTCAAAGAAATTCTCGGAATGATACAAAGTCATAACAATTTATAACTAAAGAATAATTAGTGGATTGGCATAGAATGATATTAATTGAGACAAGATAACAAAAATTCGTTTTGTAAATCATATCAATTTATTTGGAACAGTTTTGTAGAACACTCAAAGAGTTTAACAGATTTTAATTGGAAATGTGATGTAAATATTAGAGGGATCCCTGTACATACGGATCATGTTTTCCCGGGCTCAGCTTGACGATGCTGTATGTAAATTAAGTATTCTGGTAAATGATGAATTAAAGTAATGAAAAAACTTTTACAGTAACTGAAACAAATAAGAAAAGACGGGGCAACTGGCAAGTTTTTTTTTTTAAATTTGAAACCTAAACGTACCTTGCTCCACTACTTCTTCCATAAGGCTTGATGATGTCCAACATGACCGCCAAATCTCGTGTGTCCTATACACGGACATGATCATAAGGCTTGATGATATCCAACATGATCGCCAAATCTCGTGTGTCCTATACACGGACATGATCATAAGGCTTGATGATATCCAACATGACCGCCAAATCTCGTGTGTCCTATACACGGACAGGATCATAAGGCTTGATGATATCCAACATGATCGCCAAATCTCGTGTGTCCTATACACGGACATGATCATAAGACTTGATGATATCCAACATGATCGCCAAATCTCGTGTGTCTTATACACGAACATGATCATAAGACTTGATGATATCCAACATGACCGCCAAATCTCGTGTGTCCTATACACGAACATGATCATAAGACTTGATGATATCCAACATGACCGCCAAATCTCGTGTGTCCTATACACGGACATGATTTAAAGGCAACCAGAGAACTGGCAAGCCATCACAGACTTTAGTCTTATCCATCTTTACAACCCACATGCGTACTCGACGTCAACTATATCTTTGGTCATCTTCATAGGCCACCATAGGCCACCTGCATACTCACCGTCGACTATAGCCTTGGTCATCACTTGCCACCTTAAATTTACCACCGACTATAGCCTTGGCCATCTTCACATGCCACCTGCGTACTTGGCCATCTTCACATGCCACCTGCGTACTTGGCCATCTTCACATGCCACCTGCGTACTTGGCCATCTTCACATGCCACCTGCGTACTTGGCCATCTTCACATGCCACCTGCGTACTTGGCCATCTTCACATGCCACCTGCGTACTTGGCCATCTTCACATGCCACCTGCGTACTTGGCCATCTTCACATGCCACCTGCGTACTTGGCCATCTTCACATAACTGAATAAAAACGATGTTCCTTATTTTCTGTGCAGACATCAAAGTCTTCGTTTAAATTGAAATCTATCCTTATTCTGTTAGGCTCAAAATGCACTAAGTTTGATAAAAACCATTCCCATACCAAAAATCAGTTGCTAAAATCACATAAATGATAAATCACATACAGTTATATAAATGCAGACGAAACTGCATTTTAAAGGATTTATAAGAAGGGATAGGGTGACGGAAATTGGGACAATTAGCCGTCCGAAAATTGTTCCTCAAACACACGAACTAAAGCGAAGTTAATATGAAGGATTTGAAATGGAAGTTTCAAGGCAAGATTGATGGATCCTTCGATGTCATTCAAATGATTGCAGTAAATACAAAAAAAAGTCATCTTTTGAACTGTCACTTTAATAATTCAGATATGATTTTATTCTTGAAGGCCCCACCGTTACATAAAAATAATTAAACTTATTTAAACAATGATCAGAGGGGTATAGGCAAGTCCCTTGCACCCCCCCCCACCCCCAACTATCCACGTCGATGAAGTAAATCCATACAAGCGTCATGTGTCAATACCCAGACACAAAAGTAGTTGCTTTTTCTACGAGGTCATTTTGGGAAGTCATGTTCAGCCTACCGTGTCCCCGTAATCATAAATGAGTGCTGTCCTCTTGCTACATACACCAGCTGTCTACTGAATAATCCCTGGTGTTGTAAGCCACGTCAATGGAACGAGATTAATCCGAAAATTGTCATAGTCAGCTTAAAATTGTTCATGTAATGAAGGTAAGCTGTTGTAAGACTTCATAAGTTACCATTGTGGTATTTTTAGTTTTTTAATATACAGATGTGTTTGCGTGACGCAAACTAGACCTCAAAAAATAAAAAATAAATGTTTAAATTACTGGTAATTTTAAAACAAAAAGTTAAATCAGTGCCATTTTAAAAATTACAGTTTGCTAAAATTGTTTCATAAACAACAACAATGACTTATTATCATTATAAATTACAAATGTTAGCTAAGGTGACTTAAAGAGCTATAAGTTATTATTTTCATACTATGCATACTGCTAGCAAAAGCCTTCCATCTTCAGTATGCATACTGCTAGCTAATGCCACCCATGTTCAGTGAATAGACTGCTAGCTAAAGCTACCCATGCTCAGTAAATAGACTGCCACGTAAAGCCCCCCCCCCCCTGTTTAGTTAATAGACTCTAGCTAAACCCACCCATGTTTAGTATAAAAACTACTAGCTATTGCCACCCATTTTCAGTATAAAGACTACTAGCTACATCATACTGCTAGCTAATGCCACCCATGTTCAGTGAATAGACTGCTAGCTAAAGCTACCCATGCTCAGTAAATAGACTGCCACGTAAAGCCCCCCCCCCCCTGTTTAGTTAATAGACTCTAGCTAAAGCCACCCATGTTTAGTATAAAAACTACTAGCTATTGCCACCCATTTTCAGTATAAAGACTACTAGCTACATCCACCAGTGTTCAGGGACAATTTTTTTATTCTTTAGCACGTGTGGCAAGCCTAAACCATTTTAATATTCGTTCCAACTTAAAACAATAAAGGGCTTCTAGTTTTGTTATAAATAAATTTAAATTTAAACGTAATAGTGTCGTCTTGAGCCTTTTGTTTAACGTAATCTGAGTTTCAGTTCTGACAGTAAAAGGTATTCCCAAAAAATAAATTTTCATTCGTATCTTTTTGAAAAGGAAGTTCGTTTTGCAGATCTCGTATCGATAGCAGCTTTCAGTTAGCATTTCTGAGCTCAAAAAAATGGACGATGTATATGTTAAAGTATAGACTAAAAAAAAACTTAATTGATCACCAGTAAATACAACAAAAACCCATCTGTCTAAATCTGAAGTCAACGTTTATATATATATATTATATATATTGTTCCTATTGCATATTTATGACACTTCACGTTATTTGAATCTTTATTTTACTTCATAAGAAAATTAATTGTTTTTTTTAATCAGTTTTAGCTTCTGACATGACAAAGTCTTGGCTTTTAAAAATAGGAAAATTTTAGCGATTCCGGAACGTTGAGCTTCCAATTGTAACAGGGAATAGCCAGGAAATAGGTGGTACATTAGATTTATGCTAGGAAATAGGTATTAGAATTAATTATTACAATTGAAGCCATCTCTCAACAATATATCAAATCTTTGCCATTTTTTCGTGTCATTGACAAGATACGGTTAATAAATACCAACACAAAAACAAGCTGCTACGTGACCCTCCTAATAGAGGAACATAAAGAATAAGACTACCTTTCTTTAATAAGACTCAAAACTACAAATGGGTTGTTGGCTCTTGAATGGGGACATGAAAAATACACTTGTTTTTTATATGGGTTGGACTGCAATAAAGCTTAAGTTTTAGAAAAAAAATATTTTTCTTTGTATTTGTTGACTTATTATACATTAAACAAAAATCAATTATGATTGTAATAGTATTTGAGCTTTATGAAATAAAATCTAATGCATGACATTATCGTCTAGAATGACTTGCATGATGCGTTTACCTCCACACAACAGGCATGCAGTCTTCATACTTCCGATTAGTGCTCATCGGCATCCCGTGTATCCTTTCAGTACACCAGAAAGCAATTGGTGATGGCAGTACAGCGCCATCGAACAATCCGACAGTCTCACCATTATATTTGTCCACAGAACGTCCAAAGTCAGCGCGTGAACATTCCACCAATCAACGCACGAGCAGGCACGCGGCAAGTAATCAAGATGGTATTAATTTAATTAAAAAACTTCATAAAGAAAAACACAAGACACAAATTCCTTACGAATATGTTGCAAATAAAGATAATGAGAATTTCACAAGACCCGAGAACAGATACAAATGTCTGCCGTGTGTCTGTACAAACAAAAGCGATGGCGTCCAAGTGGCCGCATGTGGAAAACGGAACATCTCCGGCGTTCCTCAAAATCTGACACGGGCGGTGGAGATTCTAACTTTGACTGAATGTTCGATAAAAGAATTGGACACAAAGGGATTTTTGATCTATCAGAATCTGAAGACTGTTAATATATCAAAAAATATTTACTTGACCAGAATAACCCGCGGGCTTGGTTTGAATGAATCATCGTCAGTTGTCACTTTGAATATTTGCAACAACCGAATCGAAGACATAGAAATCTACAGTTTCACGGACATGAAACATCTTCAAATCTTAACTCTCAGTAGCAACCGACTAAATAACTTAACTAACCAAATGTTTACAGGACTTACAAGTCTGAGGAAGCTGGACGTCTCCGGGAATAACATAAGTTTTATTGATAGTCAGACATTCGATGATTTGAAAAGTCTACGCATTCTTGATATCAGCGCAAATCTCCTTCAGATAAACGATCCACTTCTTCTACCCCCCAGAGCGTTTCTGAAAATTAACCAGTTAGAAGAAATATACATTCAAGGGAATTGTAAAAAACAAACAACATCGTGTCAATTTCCCACACTGGTCATAAGTCAGTTGAAAGGTTTAAAGAAACTTGGTGTGGATGTTCATCACGAAGATGGATTTAGACCTGGTGATACGGATCTTTTGCATCTACAAACCTTGGTCATTGATCTAAAATCGTTTTGTAAAATAGAATTTATCAAATGGAACTTTTTTGACAAAACGCCCAACTTGATCTCTTTGTCTATCCAAAACTGTCCGTTGCTCCGATTGCACCCGAAGGCGTATGCAAAGCTGTTGCATTTGGAGAACTTAACTCTAAATTCACTCCCCCCGTACTACGACCTCAAATTGGCACTGGACGATCTACAGGGCTTACAGAATTCGTCACTTAAATACCTGTCGCTTTCAGGTCTAAATGTCTATAACTGCGTCGAAAGGAACCTTGATGCCAAGAATGGACAGTACTTGAGATACCTTAACTTGATAGAACTCGACATCTCATACAATAACATCATAACGATCTTGCCGGGCTTTGTCGACATGCTTCCGAAGACGTTAAAAAAGTTGGACTTGAGCGGAAACGATTTATCCGCTGGTCTGATGTACAGACCGTTGATTTTCTCTGAAGAGCTCACGGAACTGAACCTAAGCTACCAGTCGTATCAATTCATCAGCCGTTGCCCGGAAATGTATCGCAAATCTGATGGAAACACAACAACTGAAAATGAAGACTTTTTAAATAATGAAAATAATGAACCGGATAATTCGTTACCAAAAAGAACATGCACATCTAACGAGTCAACGCTCACGGATATAGCTGATGGCAGAAGTAGAGTATTGCAGGATGAACAAAGGCTTAAAACAAACTCATCTACGTTTTACTTCCCTAACTATTTGAAAGTTTGGAATGGAATTCAATTCCCTGAATTCGGTATACAAATCTTAAATCCGGATTTTGAAAATAACTCCTCGCTCATAGAAATTAATTTTTCCGGGAGTTTTATAAATTTCTGGGGAAGTTCACATCTGCTCACAAGCATAAAAAAGGCAGACCTGAGCAACAATTTCTGTGAGAACATAAGCATGAACTTTATTCCCGAAAACAGCTCACTGGAACACTTGAGCATATCCAATAATTTTCTGGGACTTTTCTTCAGAACTGATACAGAAGGTTTAACTTTATCAAAAGCCAAGCAGCTCAAATACCTGGATGTGTCGAGAAACGCCATCAATGGTCTAAGTTTATTTAGTCGATTGGACCATCTTCAAACTTTGATAGCTTCGGAGAATAGACTTCAGATTATAAATTGCAGCTTCTCCCGTATGAAAGACTTGAGAATCATTGACTTTAGCCAAAACTCAATTACGTGGATAAGCAGACAATCGCGCGATGACCTTGACCTTATCGCCACTGACCATGAAGTTTACCTCGATCTGACCTCCAATCCCTTGCTGTGCTCGTGTGAAGGAATCGAACTGATGCGATGGCTGGCCACGACGAAGGTTTTTCTCCTGAACAGGGATTTTCTCTTGTGCAAAAATGAAACGAACGAACTGCAAGAAATCGGAGATCTCGCTGAAAGGGTCGAACACTTGAACATAAAATGCACGTCTAAGATCACCACTGTCCTTATCAGTGTCTTCTCTTCGATTACTTTCTGTCTTGTTTTGGCTATGGCACTAACGTATCGATACCGTTGGAAGCTGAGGTATTTACGGAGCATCGCGCTGGCTAAGCTGCTGAACTGGAACACACTTGACGCCAGAGACACATTTAGATTCGATACTTATATTTTATACACAGATGAGACGCGACGATTCGTACTCAATGACTGTGTTAGGGAGCTTGAAAAGAACAGAGGCAAAACAATTTGTCTCGAAGAGTTTAATTTTCTACCAGACACTAGTTTGATTCAAAATATAGTAAGCGCCGTGCAGAACAGTTTTAAGACTGTCGTCATAGTAACGCCAGAGTTTTACCAAGACGAGTTTTCTGAGTATCGCGTCAAGATGGCGTTAATGGAAGAGATTTACGCTCATCGGTCGACTCTTTACCTGTGCATGTACGAGCCCACGGGCGTTACAGATTTATCAAAAGATTTTCTCGACGTAACGAACAGAGGTGATGTCATTGAGTTCCCACCGAGAGAGGGGGCCACGGAAGAAATTGATCAAAAGTTTTGGGATGATTTCTCCCAAGTCATTAGTCAAGACTGATGTCAGGAAAATTGTCACAACAATTAATGACTTTTTTGAAAACATGGAAGTACTTTTCGGGGTGTAATTTTTTTTTTTTTGGTTAAATAATTTATTTTTTATATTTTATTTCTTTTTAAAATCTTAAAATGTGTATTGTAACAATAGCAAAAGCAAAAGACTTTTAGGATGAATATATTGGTTGAGTCGGTGATTGGTTGGATTTCTTTATGAGTGAGTAAATCGATGGATTCGTGAAAGAGGTGCCTGGATCGTATACAAACTATTGTTTCTTTAATTTTAAATGTTGAAATAAAAAAAAAGGAAAAAAAAAGAGATTTCGTTAAAATTTATTTCTTTAGTTTGAGTTTAAACGCGAATGCTGTGTCTTGAGAATAGAGATTTTTTTATAAACTGTAATACAGTCGAAACCAGTTATCTCGATTTCTGTTAACTCCCTAACCCTATTTAGTCGACTTTTTTGAAGTGAAACAGCCAGATTATCTTTTTGTCTTAGCATTTTCTCATTTGCCCTGTCGATTCTTTTATGTCGCTAAACCCTAATACATCGAGCACAAAAGGAGGGGCTAAATTTGCCACTTGACCTCGGTTATCTCGATCCCCATGACCATTTGTGACCATTTGGAATCGCCCAATCCTAATGTATTTGGTATGGTTGGAAAGCTTGTTATTTACTGTTCGAGATAAATGTATCTCATTGTCATAAAGAAAATGACGAAAGCAACCAAGCCTTTCAATTACCGGCAATTTCAAACAAAAATTGGTATTTTCCTGACCTGCTTCGTATCACGTGAAACATCCTTGACCTTTGAATAAAATATAGGTACATTTTGATTGGTTCCTGTGTCGGAATTCCGTTTTTAATAACTGCTACTTCCGATAATCAATCAACATTGTCGTATAACAAAAACAACCCCCAAAACACGTGCATGTACATTCTCATTTATAAACGCACATCGTGTACATAAAGGAATTTTAAGCACATGTTAATATATTACCGCCATATTGGTTTTAGTTGATCATCGGTTTGTCTCTACGCTTTTTGGCAAACCCCTAGCCGGTGACATAACCGGGTTCAACTGTACTAAGAATGTCACAAAGAAGTTATGATGTGTACATATCATTTAAAAAAAAAACACTTTGAAGTCGAATACATCATATGAGAAATAAATTATATAATCTTGTCATCTTCGGTATGGCTAAGGTAGACAACTTTAAAAAAAAAAAAAAAGTATATGTAAAGCTGTTAATTTGGTTAAGAATAAACCGATAAATAAATACCTTTAAAAAAAAAAAATTGTTTAGTCAATGAAATCTAGCACACTGCGTAAAGATACACAGACGAAATCCCACACTAACTTACTGACACAAACCGACACACACAGACAGACACACACGCACGACGCAAAAAAAAAAAATTGCCCTAAACAAGACAATAAAATGGGATGTCATATTTACATGGGACTAAATTGTACATGCTGTGGATTTAACTATCTCCAAAAACTGACTTTCTTATAGAAGGGTTAAGTGGAGAAAGTACTTAACTAACCATGTTTCAACAAAAAATAAAAAATAAATGAGTTAATACCGGTATATTTCATTACTTCCCCTGCATCATTCTTTTAAAGATCATTCATGAAAAATGCTCTTAAGTAAGTGTATGGTTTAGAGTTACCCCGAGCAGTAAATTGGGTATTAAAACACTCAAAGCTCATTTTTTCTAAAAATTGGAACAAATTATTCTTATGTACTTTTTCTACTCGTCCTTTTCTGGACACACTAACATTGGTAGACTTCACCTTGCAAAGCAGACCATACCTCAGCCACATCACCGCAGACGACATTTCATGCAACAAAGAGAAAGTGCGCCCACGAAGGCCGTACATAGTCGTTAAGGGAGACGTTTCTGAAAGACAAGGATAAATAGGAGATAAGATCCTTAACCCTTTTGAATAGCTTAACCAACAGATACGTCACAAAATCAATTGTCTACCTTTAAAATAAAATCCTTTAGCATTATTTCTGAATGACACTACCTAAGTATATTTTTTGTTGTGTCCAGTTCACTGACGAAGGCTTCTTGCCGAGACGCTCGCTGCTTTCTTTCACCCCCCTCAAGATTGCTTTAGATTTCCTATACTAACACTTAGATAATAGACGAGACAACGACTTATAATGTTAAACTGATATACATCGATTGCTCCTTTACGCACGATCGAACATCGTAACGATTGCACGGTTCTTGCCTAAGAAATGAAGTCAGTATGCATGACTGAATGTAAGGTATAGATTCTGACTAAATAATTTTTAATCATTCAAGTCTGCCAGGATCGATAGCAGACCTGAATATATTCGTCGTTTATTTCTGTGCTTTACTGAATTTGATGGTATTCAATTCCTTGTGAACTGAGCTGTCCTGTTCATTCCTGGGTAAATAATTGTATTTCTTTTTTTTTTACATATTAATTTGAAGAAACAACCATCTTAATAAAAACGTATTAACAAATAAAATGTTGTAAATAGTTTTTAGATATATAAATAATGAGGCATAAGGAGTTCACGTTATTGTTAATGTGCTCAATTTCTAGATCAGAAACGTAGTCTACGGCTGACACGTGTTTGTTAATAACGTTAGCACGGGATTGTATTTAAAGCTTGACTCCCTGCTTTTCACTGAGGATCAAACATTGTATCTGTGACGATTCGACGCCAAAATCTCGAGTACAAAATGTACATATCCAGGTACAATGTATCTCACCCCCTCTCTAACACTAATTTGGATTTAAAAAAAAACACGGTCGTGAATTGGCAACCACAATTTCGCATAAGATTTATTTATTTATGTTCAAATTAAGTGAAAAAATTAACTATTACAAGTCGAACGTTAACACCAGTAAAAATGAATTAATATCCCAGCACCATTTACGCTGAATATTGTAAAATCCAACAATAATGCGAGCCTCCTATAAACGCGATACAATTGAATGGTCCCCGTTTATCGCGCTATGTTACTTTTGGTATGCATGATCTCTGATCTTAATCCACAAAGGCATTGCTTGCTGAACTGACCGCACTTGTGTGTCCCCCCCCCCCCACTCTTAAACAAAAACAAAAAAACAGGATGCGCCAGATAAAACCGGTCTCCAAATCCCCCCCCCCTTTTCCACCTCAATCAACCCGCTGCCCCACTCCACTAAGCACCCCCCCCACTTTAACCCCCCCTGCGACATTACTGATTTGATCAACCGTCAAAAGTAATGTCTTTAAGGACTCCTACCAAACCATTTCCCCTAATATCCGGGTTTTTAACTACCATCATTCAGACTTGTGGTAATTTTACCTCTTTCATGGGGAGATGGTGGAGATAGAGGACGACACTGCAGCTTGCGGGCCCGTTGCAGCGGTTCCCATTTTGTTGAGCTCTATCCTTAAAGGTTCCAGTTAAATGTGTTCAATAAGAGCTGTAAACTTTAACTTTTCTTTATCTACAAATTACAAATGTCTCCACAACTCAATGTGTCCACTACTAATGGTGTCCATTGTTAAATGTGTCCACTTCTAAGTGTGTCAAATACTAAATGTGTTCACTACTAAATGTTTCAACTACTAAATGTATCCACTACTTAATGTATCCACTTCTAATTGTGTCCTTTATTAAATGCGTTCACTTATAAATGTGTACACTACTCAATGTGTCCACTACTAATTGTGTCCATTATTAAATGGGGCCACTTCTAAGTGAGTCAACTACTGAAATATTACATTAAGAAATGGCGTCAGCGGGCCGTCGAGCATGCGCTCTTTATGCCCTCCCCAAAACACCCCTCCCCAACCAGGTATTGGGCCGCGGAGCGGCACGTCGGGGATGTCCCTTTGTCAGGATGGCCCCCACCCGAGTCTGCTCGACCAGGTCTCCGCCGGGGGCCGTCCTAACCCAAAGGCACCCGGTCGGTCCGACACTGTGTTCGCACACAGTGCACACGATCGACTTTCTCAGGAGTCGGGATGGAAAAATGTACGTCCTAATATCTTCCCCCACCCATCCCAGGGAAGCGTTAGACGCCCTATAAGAGGGATTCTACAGTGGGTTTCCACAACGCAACTAATTCGCGATGCAGCTGGGACGAAACGGTTGCCTTTGAGCAGCTTCTCAGGGCTGCGTAGTAAGAATCATCGGCCAGAGGTTAGATCTACCACCTTCGCCTCTCGACTCATATCCATTAACGGCAACTTGTAATCATGATCCCTACCATGTCTCTGTCTATTTTTCCAGTTGGGAAGTATCACAACTGGCAGCACTGTAAGAGCTGTTTTATGTACGGCAGGTACCGAGCACATCCCTTGTCTACCCACGCAGGACGCGACCAGTAGTTGTGTTCCCCGGGTAACGTCGAGGGGTCGGTGGCCGACGCCTCCTAATCTTGTCAACCGGGAGTCCCAGGAAGCACACATAATCAAGCTGTTCGATTTCTATGTGGGGTGCTACGCACATACCCAGCGATCGCTGTAGAAATAGTAGCAGCCGTAGAAACGTTCGAAATCAGTCGTCGAAGGGCATCCTGTCAACTCCTAACGTCTTCTGGATTGATTACATTCGTCAGTTCTTTCATACGTTGAAGAGTCGTACTATTCTCACTATCAATTAACAAACTCAACTCCTTTTGATAATAACTATAACTTTAATATCTAAGTAAATATAATAAACATCCTATCACTCCAAGGTTCCACTCAAGACTGCCGCACGACTACAACATACGTCACAACACTGCATAGACAATACGTCACGACTCAGCATAAAAATACGTCATAAAGACAATGGCGGGAAGAGCGTTCACTAACTATAATAGTCAAGCGCGGGAAAAGCGTTCAACAACTAATGAACATAATATTGAGTCGCAACAATTCCTAATGAACGCTCATACTCGACATATCCCCCCTCTTTCATTTCAGATTTAACTAAGGGAGTTAAATCGTCACCAGACACACAAAATTTACATGAATTACATCAAGAAGAGACCTTCAGCCATATGAATGGTCCTTATCAAAAAACATTATTTAGGT